TGCAAAATGGATTTCTCTTAACTACCTGGTAGGGTGGCTGCATGGATTTAACAACAATGCCTCTGATACAGGGTAAGTAGTCTTTAAACTGGAGCTGATCATCTCTGCCCTGCCCCCTGCCAACTGGGCCACTGTGACAAAGCAACAAGCTAACAGATGTGAAAGCACTCAGCGTACCCCAAATGCAGCCTGTGCAAGGATTATTATTAGTCTGTGGATTGTTTTCCTGTAGAGCCAGGGATGAGAGGAGCAGGACCACCTGGAGATCAAAGGGGATAAAGCAGACACCATATGCCTGAAGCACCCACACACTGACCATTCTCTGTGACGATGACATCCGTGTGGGAGCTGCCATACTTGTGGATGTGGTCAATGGCTTCCTGGACGCTGTCCACCACTTCAATGCACAATTCCAGGTCCCCATACTCTGTTCGAAGTGACTTCACTTCTGAAGGGCTAAAGGTCAGATAGGAGGCAAACTTGGGCCCTGCATGAATTTTCACCTGGAATAGAGCAAGTGCAGGGACTACAATGTAAAAACAATAAAAATTAGCAAGCAATAAGATCAAATAGCAGGATGAGTCTGTGAAACATCACAGAGCCTGGAAAATCACAGCCCAAGCAGCAATGGTGCCTGGAGGACAGAAATGGCTCTGCCTTCCCACCCTGCATGCTCTGCTTTCAGAAGGCCTGACTGGCCACTTGCCAGCAAAGGGCCCTTGAGAAAGGTTGGAGCAGGGATTTAAGTAGGGAACATTTAAGTGTTAAGAGTGTGCAAGGCACTGAATGGGTTATGGACACAAGCCCTTAACTTCTGACATTTTACTAAATTGAGCACTTAACTATAATAATCCTTCCCTGCAATGTGGGAACTAGGCCTGGAACTTGTATGGAGAGAGGGAGGCATCACATACACATTTCCACTCACTACACCCTGGAGAAGCCTGGGTGGGTGGCTTTGCTTTAGAGGTAAGCAGCACTCAGGTTCTGTTGGTACTGCAAACTATGGTTACCTGTTGTAATTCTTTCTTTTTTTTTTTTTTGGTACCAGGGATTGAACTCAGGGGCACTCAACCACTGAGCCACATCCCCAGCCCTATTTTGTATTTTATTTAGAGACAGGGTCTCACTGAGTGGCTTAGCACCTAGCTCTTGCTGAGGCTGGCTTTGGACTTGTGATCCTCCTACCTCAGCCTCCCGAGCACCTGGGATTACAGACATGAGCCACTGTGCCCAGCTTCCCTATTGGATTTCTGACTGGATCAGTCTCAGCCCCAGGTTCTGGCACTAATTCTGCTCTTGGTTAGTAGAATGTAAGGCTCCGAGGCTGGTCACTAAGGTCCCAGGACAAGTCTGATCCCACTTAGGCCTTGTTCTTGGAGACCACCTGGGACAGGGTACATACTCTGACTCTCCAGGGCCAGGCTCTTGCCTTGGCTCCTGTTATAATAGTAGTATCTGTCTTGTTCTCACTGCTCCTGAGGTCTTGCCATGGTTTCTTATCTGGGACCCCATGTCCTCCAGGACTGGGTCAAACCATGTTCATCAGGGACTGGAGCCCTGAGCTTGAGCAAGTCACCCCACTGGGTTTGCTGCCTGCATATAAAGGTGCTGCAGGAAGTATACACATGGACTCATCTGGATTTTAGGAGATTCAAAGCAATCCTCATTTTTGATGACTTAAGGTATCAAGGGTCTGTCCACATAAGGACCAGGAGGATTTAGTCCTGGCCAAAGGAGTGTTTCCTGTGGTCTATCCAAATCACTGTGGTGCTTGGCATCCAATTAAACAGTCCACTAATGTAAAGTAAGCACTGTAACACGACTATCATGTGATCTAACTCCCCTTTACTCTGTAGGGTGCATTTTCATTTTCAAAACAATCCTTTCAGGTTCTAACTGGGACCATGCCACATTTATAAACAGATTGGAATCTTCCTTTTCAGTAAATGGAAGGAAGAGACACATGTCAGGGTCAAAGCCACCGAGGCCAGCAGGCACCTTCCCTCCGGCTGTGCAAGCTTATGCAATTCTGAAAGAGCACCATGACACTGGCTATCAAAGCTGAAATGCATCCATGCAGGAAGTTTAACAGATTGTCCATTTCGCCTTGAGAATTTCCATTACTTTGCAATCATGAATTTAGGACACAGTATAAATTTATATTTGAAAATTACTGGATTTGGTTTGTTTCTAACCTTAACGACAAGATAGGAACATAATCCAGAGAGGACACTATACAAACTGTTGACTCCAAATATCATTATTGGTAACTAAAGACATGTGGGTGTGTGAATATATACAAAGTTTTGGTTTGAAAACATTTCTGCATGACCTTTTCAAATCAAATCCAAAAAAGAACATAAACAAACTTTAAACTTTGCCATCGAATAAAAGGTCGCTAAAAAGTGTCTACTCAGCACACTACCATGTGGTCTGTCTTTATCTCAGCACAGAACACAGCACTTTGTAATATAGCTACCTGTGCAGAGGTCTGGTCCACCCACTGGGCTGCAGGAGGGCAGAGTTATTTTACTCACCCTTGTACTTAGCATAGCACTTTAGACATAGCACTGACTCAAAAGTACTGTTTCCTAAATTGACTTAAATGGTATGACAGTTGGTCCTGGTCTGGCCCATGAACGGGAGGTAATGTACTAGTCCTGTGGGTCTGTTTACCTGTTCCACTCTTAGCATGTCAATGATCTGGTCAAATAACGGTGTTCTCAGCAGATCCCGGTGGATTAACAAAGTCTCCAAAGCATTACAGGCGGCTGGGTATTCACATTTAGAGTCTCTGACTGCAAGAGGAGTAAAGAATTACTTCTAATTAACGTGATCCACAACTATCGCACCCTCACCACACAGGAGACCCCATCCGGCTCACCCAGTCTTGTGACCTTATCCACACTGGCCTCTGAATCCACATATAGGTGGCAGATCCCTTCACTGTGTCCCATCACTGGTATCCCCTTGGCAGCTTTCTGAATGTCTCTGACCAGCTGGGAAGAGCCACGTGGAATGATCAGATCTATCAATTTGTCTAGGCGGCAAAGATCTTCAACTTCTTCTCTGGTATTCACCTGAAAGTAAGATAAAGACAGACATTGTCTAGCCACACAAAATATAGGAATAGCAGCCCCCTCCCGCGCTTTTAAAAAAAATTTTTTTAGTTGTAGTTGGACACGATACCTTTATTTTATTTATTTGTATGTGGTGCTGAGGGTTGAACCCAGGGCTTTGCACGTGCTAGGTGAGCTCTCTACCGCTAAGCCACAATCCTAGCCTAACAGCTTCCCTTTTTATACATAAATGTCTGCATACCCTGAGAACCAAACCAGGTGCTGGGAAAACTTACTCTGAAAAGAAGCTTAAATATCTGATCATGGGAATTAAAATACTGTCCAGCAAAAACTACAGACCTGGAGCTACAGTCTCTGTTACAAAGCACGCAGCACACAATCTGTGCCTTACAGAGCTCAGAGTCTTATAGGGAAAGCAGGACTAGGACACAACGGCCATAATACAGAGCAGATAATTTTTTAGATGCCAGAGGAGGTACTATGCTATCTGTGGAAGTTCAAGGTGGTACAGAGGGTGCCAGGCTAGGAGGGTCATTAAAGGAAGTGGCTGCTCTGAGGAAATGCTGTGTCTTGCTAGGGAGCCACAGGTCTCTGGGACTTTTGCAGATAACCTTTCTGCTGGCATGCTGCCTGGACTCATTATAAAGAGCTTGTGTCAGGACACTGAGATTAATGGGCATTTTGCTTTCTCTTCTTGATTTTTAACCCCATGCAACTGATCACGTTACAACAAAAACATAAATGTATATGTGCCAGAATACTCCCAGCAACTTTATTCTGCATAGCCCCCAACTGGAAAGCACCCAAATACTCATCAACAGAAGAAAGGACGCACTGTAGTATGTGCACGTAAATGGAATACACAGCTACGAGGAGGGGAAACTGCTGCTTGGTGCAATGATGTGGATGAAAGTCAAGGAGATAACGATGAACAAAAGACACAGAACATAAAAGAGCATTTTAGATGACTCCATTTTTATGAAGTTCAAGAATAGGTAAAAGTAATTAAATGTGACAGAAGTTAAAAAAAAGTGATTACCTTGTGCTGACAGTGAGGCACAGTAATTGGGAATCTCAGAAGAGAGCCTTCTGAGATGTTGGGGAGTGTGCTACATCTGGAGGTCATGTATGTGTACATGTATGGATCAAGTCACAGAGTTGTTCATAACAGGATCTATATATTACTGCATGTATGTTACACATCAACAGGAAAAGAGGGAGGGAATCAATGTAGATCAGGATGTGCTGGAGTTGGGAACTGTGTTCTTTCCACCTATCTATTTGCCGTAAGACAAACCCAGATTCTCATTCTTGAGCACGCAATGCAGCAGGTCTGCAGACATTCTCCCAGTGGCCAACAGAACCCAGGGATATTGGAAAAGGGGGTCTTGATGGATAGAGGGAGGGATGTGGAGGTGGTCTCAGTCCAAATTTTTTTTCGTATATATATATATATTTTTAGTGGTAAATGGACAAAATACCTTTTTGTATTTATTCATTTTTATGTGGTGCTAAGGATCAAACCCAGTACCTCACAAGTTCTAGGCAAGTACTCTATACCACTGAGCCACAACCCAGTCCCCAAATTTACTCTATCATAAACTGGGTGCTCTGTGTCAATTCCTTTACTTCTGAGTCTGCTTTTTTCCAATCTAGAAAACACGCCTAATAATGAATGATAATTTCCTTATAGGGTTGTTGTGAGGATTAAAAAAGATAATAGATGAAAAGTACCTTACACACAGTAGGTACTCAATGAATTATAGCAATTACTGTCAAACTTCATTTGATATCTGAGGAGAGGGAGACAATGGTTGGTTAAAATGATGATGATAGTGATAATAGCATGATCTCATTCTTACATGCTGCATGACAGTTTATGACATGTATATGTATCTCATCTGTCTTATACTACAGCAATGAGAAGAACCTGGGCCTCACACTCTAGGACTGGTATTCTCCATGAGCCAAACAAAGAGGGCTAATTGACATTCTTGGAAACCAGGAGTGCCAGGACACATCTGATGGGAGTGGCCTTCCCAAGCTGTTGGCAATCTACCTGGTCCATCCAGCCACTGTAATGGCCAAATGTCTGCAAGCTCACAGCACCTGCTGCCACTCTGATCAAGCCTCCTACAGAAGTGTCTTGCCCTCATGGGGCCCAAGCTTTGCTTCAAACTCCCACCGATCTGATACGGCCTCACCTGGATCATTTCCAGGGACCTACCAGCTGTACAGCCTCTTTGACTCCATGGATTGAGAGGGCCTCCTGCGTCAGGAGGTGGAGAATCCGGTTGCTGTGTGCAGCCTCCTTCCCTCCTTTGAGTAATAAGCCATTACCACTTGCAATAGCCAAGGCTGCCACCTGCAGACCAGAGGGGAGAGCAGGGGATCAAAGGGAAAAAAAACAAGAGTGACAGTAATGTTAACATATTTTGGAGCACTTCATTTCGGAGCTATGCTCTCATTTTCACATCTGAGCGAATTAAATACCTGTTTTATGTCACATTATACTTAAGTCCAGAGAGCCCGGTGACTCTCCAAGGTCGTGTAATTTATAAAAGGCAGGGCTGGAGCCATCCTGAGGTGGTGACTTCAGAGCCAAATCACCTGGATCTTAGGAACCAAATGATAAGGCTTCCCCAGCACCACCTGCAGCCTGAGTTCAGAGGCCAGTCACTCAGCCCGCCTCCCAACTCTGGCTACTGTGAAAGAAATGTGTGCTCAGCTGGCTCTGCAGTGCTTGCTCCACCTGACTCAAGCTGAGGCAGCACCTCAGCTCTGGAATTGTTCTGAGGGCTCTAAATGGCTCAAGCTAGGAACCTCAGAGAAGACTAGAGCTCCAGCCAACCTCAGACAGCAACAGCAGAGACTGCTGAGCACATACTGTTTGGGGTCTGGGTAGGAAGTTAGGGCATCTAGGAGGAGGGTAGCTTCTTTATTAAAGCAGAGTTGATGACACCGACTTGATCATCCTAAGCCTGAAGCTTAATATTCTGAATTCTCATGGAATGAATGAAAATATTCCTGCTTTTGTAGGGAAAGCAGGAAGGCACTTTACTAAAAAACTTGTCTGACCATGTTAATTTCCAGATTAGGGGTTCTTTTTTAAAAAAAAAAATATTTATTTTTTAGTTATAGGTGAACACAATATTTTCTTTTTATTTTTATGTGGTGCTGAGGATCGAACCCAGTGCTCATGCATGGTAGGCCAGCGCTCTACCTCTGAGCCACAACCCCAGCCCCAGATTAGGGGTTCTTAAACCATTTTTATTTGCTTATGTTGCTCATAGGTCCTTAATAAAGTTATGTAAACTTTCTCTAGATAAATGCACTGACATGGGGCATTCTGCATATAATTTTTAGGATTCACTGAGTCTGTGTTATCATACAGGTTAAGATCCCAGGTGGGGAGCCTCAGCTGAGAGGAAAGCTTACTTTTTATAAGAAACTAGCTGTGTAGAAGAGAAGAAGCAGAGACACTTGGTGAACACAGTTCACAAAGACTTGGGACCCATTTCTAATATCACAGGTGAGTTATGCAGTCACCACTGGGCTTTTTGGAAAGACAGCGATGTGAACAGAGGGGTGGTGTCCTCCGTGACGTGGAGGACTCTGATGAGCGAATTAAATACCAGTTTGAGGTCATGTCAGGGAGTACCCTCCACAGAGTATCTGGATCCCCCTGGTCCCTAATATTTTATACATATAGGTATTGTTTTTTTTGTCTTAAATTAGAATTTCCCTTGGAGACTTTGGGGGTAGGGTGAAAAAAGAGCTGGTATCATACTGCTGACCATCCAGTGGGGAATCAATTCAGATTTCTGGGAGAATTAAAATCAAGTGAGGCTGCTCTCTAATGCCACCTTGTGTTTCCCAGCATGGCCACTTTCTGAACTTTCCTTAAAGACTTATATTCCAGTTTCCATTAACTACTGGAAGTTCTTTTTCTAGGAGGTATACCCACAGGAAGACATGTGTGCCACTGATAACAAGGGCCTTCACATGGGCAAGGCCAGCTATTAGAAGAATAGATCATAGCAGGCTAGCAGGAGCCTTTGGTCAGAGAACAAAGTGCCCCATGAGCTAACATCTTTGGAAATTCCTCTCGCATTGTTATACAGTGGGTTGCTCTGGGCTCCAGTAACAGCTGTACTCTTACAAGTACAGGAACACGGGCTTTTATAAGGTTTGGTTTCCTCAACTGTAAAATGAACCTATGAATACCTACTTTGGGGTTACCAGAACAATCAAGGACATAAATCTTGGACATCTCAAAAGTTATCTTTTGGGGTGGGGACCCCCCACCCTCCACACACACACAAATTATCTTTGGGAGACTTGTCTCCAGTACTGAAAACACATGCTTCCTCCAACTCCCACCCCCCTTTGGCAAGGCCTTTGTCACACACCTGGGGTAGACAGTCGGGGCGAGATTCAAAGATCACCAGTAGAACACCAATTGGGACTGTCACTTGCTCTAGTTCCAGGTTTTTGGCAATTCGGGTCCTGCGTAAAACACGTCCCACACTGTCCTGCGAGGAAGCTGCGATCTGCCGTAGTCCGATGGCCAGGCTGTTCAGTTTAGACGTGGAGAGGCTTAGACGCTTTAGCAGAGGGGCTGCAAGTCTCCCTGAAAAGATGTCAGGGATATGCGATGAAGTAGCAGATCTGCAGGCTGCAGCCACCGACAATTCTTGAGTTTTACTGAACATGTGACATTGATCATGTCTGTTTCTGTGCAATGTCACATGTGTGGCATGCAGTTTACATGGCTTCTCCAGGGGGCAGTGTGGCAGTACATATCATCATGTAAAGGTGCATGTATCCAGACTCTTTGTGCCAGCAATCCTAGTTTCAGAAATTTGTCATTTGTGTGAGCAAGCCTACATGTGATAAGGATATGTACAATATCCTTTTATAATAGCAAGAAAGTGCATTCTACCTAAAAATGCAAACAACGGGCTACAATGTAGTTACCATAAATAATAAACATGTGCTATCTGACATGGAAAGTTATCTAGGGTACAGTTTGTGAAAAAGGCAAACTGTAACAGCATGTATGATACACTCCTTTTTGTTTTATTGGTACAAGGGATTGAACAAATGCATCCCCAGCTGAAACACTCCTATTTATCAAACAGTGCATCTCTACGTGTGCACAGGGAGACGCCCAGAAGGCAGCAAGAACTGTGATGATCCCTATTTTATCTTTCTATATTTTAGTTTTCTATAATGAGTGAATTATTTTTATAACCAGAAACAATGAAGATATTTTCTTCTAAAATAAAGTTAAAATTATGGTAGGTTCATACACAGAATTTTCTTTAAATACAATAGTATGTATAGTGTGATTCATTCTCTCTCTCTCTCTCTCACACACACACACACACACGTTTATATGCTTGGGAAAACCATTTGGAATCACATGTAACAAATTAATTACTGTGGTTAATGTTTGTTCATGAAAAATTTTCCTTTCTCTTTAATAGTCACACACACCAAGGTGAAAATAATAAAATATTTCTACTTTGGAGAGGAGGAACCAAACTTAAGAAAAAAATTAAACCATTCTACAAATCAATTATACTGGGAATAGCAATCAATCAATTTTCTTTACTTTCTTTTACTTTTTTACATGTGATTAAAAACAAGTTTTAATTACAGTACATGTTAAACATTATATTCTAGGTTTTTTGCTTCACTATGCCAGTATGTTTTCCATGTTGTAAAAATTATCATTTTAGTCAATACTAAATATTCCATTGTGTTGATACAGCTTAATGCACTGAATGAAGCCTACGCAATTAGACACTTGGGGAGTTTCCAGTTTTTCAGTGTAATAAATAATCCTTCTCTAAGAATCTTTACATACAGAGCTGTTCTCTCCTCTTGAAATATTTTCTTAGGATCAATTCCATGAATTAGGATTACTGAGTCAAAGGGGATTACCATGCTCATGTATACCCAGGACTCTGTTCTTTTTTTAAAAAATTTGTTGGGGGGTGCTGGGGATTAAACCTAGGGATACTCTACCACTGAGCTACTATCTGCTACTTCCTATTCCTTTTTAGTCTTTATTTTGTGACAGGGTCTTGCTACATTGCCCAGGCTGGAAATGATCCTTGTCTCTCAGCCTCCCTAGTTGCTAGGATTGCAGGTGTGTACCTGTGTGTGTTTCCAGAGATATTATTGGGGTTAGAAGCCCAAGACCACCAAGAAGCTGTGTGATCTTGAGCAATAGCTTTAACCTTTGTGAGTCTTAACTATTTTACTAGTTAAAGTTAAAAGAATTGGGCATTATCAAAGATTTCTTCCATTTCTTAAAATCCATTCTGTGACTTTCCAATACTATGAACATTTGAAAAACTACAAGTAATCTCTAGAGGAAATTCTGAAACAATGCTTTGAAAGTGTTGTAAAGGAAGGACAGGGAGGCTGAGAAGCCCTGCAAGGTTTCTTTGATGGGAACACCATTCATCTGGATGTTTAAGTGAAGATTCACTTATTCAAGAGAAAAGGAAATTTAAAAACCCCATAAAGTCAACTCCCATTATTTTAAGGCAGAAAAGACCAGAAGAAAAAGGAGAGGAAGAGCAAGGATCTCCCAGGCTCTACATATTTAGCTGTCTGTGACACGAGCACACCCATCTTGCTTGCTCAGGGCCATTTCTGGATGGCACCTGGTGCCAATTCTGAGAACTTCACACTGGTTAATGAACTAAGAGACAACCCATCTCTCATCAGAGTCTGAACCAACTATTTCTATGACTCTCTTATTTGCACAGTCCATCTGTGTTGGAATCCCAGGTCCATTGGTGGCCATATGGCTTTGAGAAAGTGTCAGCTTCTTTGAGCTTTGAATCCTCCTCTATAAAATGGAGATGACAAAGAGCAGCTCCTTCAGACATACTATGTTGTGAAGAATAAAGGCAATTCTGTTGGTGAAACCCTTAGCACAGCACCTGCTAATATACAAAGGCCTCAATAACCGCTGGTAGCTATTAGCTGAACATCTAAAGCACAGGGTTTCTCATTCTCCTTATCCGGGCCTGAAATCGCCATAAAAACCACAGCTCATGTGATCTATGGAAAACAGGAAAAGTCCTTTTGGGGGTCTTACTGAAATACATGGGGAAGAGGGAGGAATACTAAGAGTACTTTGAAAAAAAAAACCTAACCAGTACTAGCCATACAACCTCCATAAAATGATGCACAATATGTAATTGCTTCTATAACAATCTTACTTTTAGGTACACCTAAGAGTTACTGGTAAAACAAAGAACAGCAATAAGGAGAATGAATACCTGCCCCCTGCCCCCCTCACGCACGACTCCTTACCCTCTGCCTCCTCCAGGTCTTTTTTGTTGGCCAACAGGATCTCATCCCGCTGGTCTGTCAACAGATCTGCCAGATGATGGATAATTTCTGCTCTCTAGAAGAAAGGCAAATTTAAGAAACCCAATAGATATGTTAATCCAAGAAGAACATACACCAGTTTTTAAATCTAC